TTTCTGTCACTGAAACACACACTCGTGCACACAGCAACCTTTTTTGGGAATGGTGATAATAGAGAGTACATGCTATCTAAAAAGTTATTAATAACACAACAAGAGGTCCTAAAGCCTCTTCCCAGCTACACAATGTGTCCCTTTACCCTCTCACGTTTCTGTTATTCAAAGCAAGGACCTCTCCTTGCTGCACATTGAGTCTCTCCATCAACTCTCTTTCTTCATTGTGCCTTTTGATCCTCAGGTAAGTTTCTGATTATACTATACTGATTATAACGTTATGTGAACACAGTGTTTAGGCTCTAAAATCTTGTTATAAAGCTGTAAATGAAGTGGCGAGGATATGAAGGGGAGGATGCTTTCTCTGAATGAATTTATGGACTGGAGGAACTGGATCATTTATGTTCAGATTCACTGCCGGACACCTGAACACTCCCTGGCATGTCTGACAACGAGGAAGTGGTGGAGGAGTATGAGGAGTAGGTTGAGGCTTATTTTTCATTTTTATATAATATATAAAAATACAAATATACACATTTCTTATGTTTCTGCTTAAATATGCTGAACATGTGTCCCGTGTAAATGTAAAAATACACCCCTACTGTACAGCTGTACATAGACAGACATGTAGTTTCTTTACATTTATTGTAATGACAGTGATGTAAATGGATGATACTTGCATGCAATGGCTTTTGTATCCAAAATAATTACGTACATTTCTTGATTTTCACAGGGAGGTGGAAGGTAAGAACTCTCATCATGTCTCATCATATACTGTACACTGTATAGCACTGACAGATGTGATCTACTGTAAAAACTAAAGCTATGTTGTTTTGACAGATGTTTTCTCTGCTGAATTCAGCAAGCTTAATAGAGTAACCCGACATTATTATATTTTGCATAACTTTTTAAAGGAATGTAAGGAACATTGTCGTAGCTGTGTCCTGTGAATGAAAATGTCAAGTTGATTTATGAATCAAACGTAAATGTTCAGCCTGTTTGCTCTGACACTATATAATTAACAGGGTGTCTGCAGTTTATTTCTATTGTTTGAGGCTTATTATAATGCAACATAGTATGTTTCTACCAAAAGACTTTCTTTTTGAGTCAAAGATCAAGATTAAAAGATTGCACTAGGTAGATCATTTTTTTTAATACACAGGATATGAAAGTTATTTGTACGGAGACTTGATTCCTATTACTATCTATTCTTATTCCTGTTCTACCTTTGCCTGTAGTTAGTTGAAGCATTAAAGCAAAAGTAGTGTTGTATGTGTGTGTTTGTATATAACATAGAATGCTATAAACCATTGTTTGAACCTCTCATTATGTAATTAAATGTGTATAATAACTCTCTTGTGTATTTTCCCGGCTGCGTGACTCAGAAGAGCAGGCTGCTGAAGGTACGTGAACTTATCTGTATCATCGATGAATCATTTCTGGTCATATTAAGACACATCAAACCTTCTCTTTTACCAGAGCAAAAGGTGGAGTGATGAACACTGTTTGCCACTGTTTGTTATTTTGGCTGTGGTTAAAATAACTGTGACTGACATTCATGAACGATTACACTGGAATCATTCATGCATGATGTCATCGTGCTGTGAAGATCCTCCTGTCTTTCTTTGAATGTTGCTGGCTGCTTTGCTAGCTGGCTGGCTTTACTAATCAGCTATGTGCTTTTGCTCAGCAGGGGAGGAGGGGGTAGAGGAGGAGGAGGAGCATGAGGAGGAGCATGAGGAGGAGCATGAGGAGGAGGCGGAGGAAGGTATTGCTTGTGCTTTGAGCCTAAAGCCTTTTTTTTCAAAGATACTCCATAGACTGCAGGCTGTTTTCGTGGAAATAGATCCGGCACCATCCTGCATTCTGTGAAAACCTGACAAACCATAGACTGTATAATGCCTTAAACATGTAGTGTGATGAAGCTCACTGCACTCACATGCACAGTAACTGGGCATAAACATTATGAAGCAAAATGTAATTTTAAGTATTAGATAAAATGTTGTAGCAGACTACCCATACAAGTATGTTTGACAAATAATTCTAAGAAATATCAATTTAACATTTGGCAAGCAACGTAAGCAAGGAGACTGCTATTTATAGAGGAATAAAAATGACTTATTAAAAAACATATAAAATATAAGTAAATGCTGAAATGTGTGTATGGGTATTCTTATCTATTTATTATGCATTTATTTAGTTATAAATAACTAAAAAGGTGTAGTTTTAATAATTAAATAAATGATAAATTAATAAATACAGACATGTATTTCTATATCCCTACTCATATTTATAAATTTCTAAATTTCTATTTTATTTATTTCTGTAGTCATACGTTTGTCTGTGTATTTATTAATGTAGTGGAGCTACATCATTAACATTCAGACACAGAAATATAGATATTAATAAAAATAAAAGAAGAAATACAAAAATAAATACACATAAATGTACAGAAATTATGAAGATGTTTATTTATTTACACAATGAATTACCAACATGTATTTTATAATTAATTTAATTATGTATTTCTGTGTTGATTTCATAATTTCTATATACATCTTTGATTTATTTGTTGTATATTCATGTATTTATTTCAGCATTTATTTATGGAAATATTTCTTTACTTATGTCATTAAGTCATTTTTGGTTTTCCATAGAGTATGACCCTAATTTGACTTTTCTGGATTTGCAGTGAAAGCTATTAAAAGCCTGAACAAACATTGTCCAAATCCACAATGTTTGTCTCTTTTTTTCTTTCAGTATGGAGATATCTCACCTGATGAGATCATATATTTGGGACTTCGCTCTCTCTTCTCTTAAGTTCCCAAATACATCTCATCTCGTGATTTGTGATCTTATTATTATTATTATTACTTATGATCTCATGAAGTCAGAGTTGAGATGGTGTGGTGTTTGACCTCAAACGCACGCACGCACGCACGCACACACACACACACACACACGCACACACACCAGCTCTTGCGTGCTATCTGCTTTAAATACCAATGGTGGGTAGCTCATTCTCACCATTCTCATCATCACTTGTTATCTCTCTGCAAGGCTTCTCATGCTGTTTGAACAAACTGTTGTCCATTCTACTCTGGTTTAGCAGCTGCTCTCTTATCTCCTTCCTTTCACCATGAACTTTTGAAAAATAACAAGGGATGGCGACTGTTCACATAAGGCAATGAGTCAATATCACACCCTGTGAGTGTCAAGATGTCTCACTGACGTGTCACTATTTGCTGTACAACTTTTCTTTCTGACAGAGGCTGTGCAGGAAGAGGACCAACCTGCTGCAGAAGAGGAGGCCAACGAAGAACAAGGTGAAGCGTTTGAGCGTAGAGAGCATTGTTGTCAAGTTGTTTTAGAGCGCAGACATCCAGTCACTGTTGTTTCTGTGACAGTCGTTAACCAGCAAGAAAACTTATATAAGTGCTGACAACGGAGTGATGATGATTAATTCAGTCAGACACAGTCAGTTGCACTTCACTTTGGTATGTGACAGTCTGCAGGGACTCGATAAGTGGAAACCTACATGTTTTCCTCTTATCTCTGTCTCTCTGTTAGTCACAACAGGCACAGTCACAGGGTGCGAGTAATCCTAAAACACTGCTTGAATTGATATTATCTGTTCTTCTTCTTCTGAGAAACAGGAACTATGTTTGTCAGATTCAATCACACCTTTGCATCTTATCTATGCCTTCAAATCAGTAAACAATTTATGAGGCTCTTATAAACCGTCACACACACTGCATATGTGTTTGTTTTTTTACTTAAGTGGTGCGTGAAAGCAGCATTTCACCTGGTGGTTTAGTTTATCATCAGAGTAGTTCTCTGACCAGTTGGTCTACCACTTTGGTCCAGACTGAAATATCTCAACAACTGTTGATGGATTGCTATGAAATCTTGTGCAGACACTCATGGTTCCTGAGACTAATGACTTTGGTGATCCTCTGTCTTTCTGTATTTAGAATTAGCATCAAGTCAATGTTCTGTACTTTAACATTATAATACCTGCAAAACTAATGACATTCCCATCAGCATCTGCTGTACTTTATGTTTAGTGCTAATTAGCAAATGTTAGCATGCTAACATGCTAAACTGAGATGGTGAACATGGTGAATCTTCACCACCTGGAAAACTTTTATGTTGTTATGCCCCTTAAAATCTTTGGTTGAGTGTGTCATTCAGAGGGCACAGATGCCATTCCCTCTTTGGCGAGTGACTGCTTATTATCAAGATAACTTGTCTCTCACCTCTCCAGAGTGCTATTTATGAAATGTGACGCATGTAACACTTTGAAATACACACACACCAACACAGAAAGGATAAAATGAGGTAAACAAACTGTACCCCACTTTCTCAGTACTCTATTGTGGTCTTTCTCTTCTATATAATTTTGTCTGTCAGCACTCGTAAAAACACTACTATTAACTGTTCTGTCATGCACACTCATTTGACACGCTCACTTGCTTCTAATTTTATTATTTTGGTTTCAGATGCAGAAGGCGAAGCGGAGGAAGGAGAAGGTAACACTTTATATGAACTGCATCAGAATGTGTGCTGGCACGCCTTACACATTGTTAATCTGTTTTTCTTGGCTGTACTCAGCAATTTAACCTGAATCATAAATGGGATTAGCTCAGATTAACTTTCTCCTGCTATATTAAATTTCCAGCTGTTATGAGCACGTATGCAGGCTCCAAAGTCATGACTTGCTGGCGTTTTCTGGCAGGATTATGACATTTTCTTGGTGCGTTCTGAGTGAGAGTGTGTGTGTGGTCTGGACTAACTTATTGCTCTCTTGTCTTTCAAAATTTCCTTTCTTTCTTAACAGAGGAAGAGGCTAAACCAAAGTTCAAGTGAGTAACACAAAATGTTTATTCTTCTACAGCACTGTTGTGGAAATCAAATATTTATTTTGGAGCTAATTCTTCTTCATATGCACAAAGCCTTTGAATTAAAGGAATAGTCATTTGGGATCAATTGGCTTTCTTACAGACAGTTAAAAAAGAAGATTCACACCACTCGCATGCCGTATGGTAATCTACCATACCACCACCAGCGCTTAATTTAGCTTAGTTTAGCACAAACACTGGAAGCAGGTGGAAACAGTTAGCATAGCTCTGTCCAAAGGAAACAAAGTTCTACAACAAGCACGTCTAAAGCTCACTGATTAACACTATATATTTTGTTTTATCTGAACAAAGTTAATACACCTGGCCAAGAAATAGCCTGGTACATAAATGGTTATTTTTACACTTACGACATATTAATTGAGCTTTAGAGGTGCTGGTTTGTGGGGTTTGTTTCAACAGAGAAGAGCTAGCTGCCCCCCCCCCCTTTTGAGACTTTTAAGATTCTTTAAAACCCTTAGTGTCGGATTGATTTTTCCGTCAAAAATCATACTCTGAACACACATACATGACACACATGAATAGAATAAACCTGCTGATTGCATTTTATCTTAATTTGCCTCCTCATTTCGTTTCTTCACATTTTTCACTTTTATACTTTAGCCACTTGTCATTCACTCACTTGTCCTCTGTTTGTCCTTCTGTCTTCTTTTTAAATCTAGGCCATTTATCATGCCCAATCTCATCCCCCCTAAGATCCCAGATGGAGAGAAAGTGGATTTTGATGTGAGTTTAACAGTTTAATAATGTACATAGGTTTCTGCCTAATGGTGTATGAAGCCATTTTAAGCATTGCCAGATGTGACGTTGGATGTCAATGCTCTGCCTTTTATAGAGTCTATTCATTTTATTTTGAACAACTTTTGAGTGAACTTAAACTAAAGCTCCCATTGTTTTTTCCCAGACATTTTACTTTAGTCCAGGTATCCCTTTAATTTGAGACCGACCTATCATGTCTTTCTGGAATGTGGAAACTAATTAAACCTTGAGTACAAGAAGCACTGAACCCCTGTTTCTGCAGGATATACATCGTAAAAGGATGGAGAAGGACCTGATGGAGCTTCAGACTTTGATCGAGGTTCACTTTGAGAGCAGAAAGAAGGAAGAAGAGGAGCTCATTAATCTCACGGATAGGATTGTGAGAGCCGCACGTATTCCCACAAACATAACATTAAAGATGTGCTTTAAGATCTGTTAAGATGTGATGATCTATTGTGCAGGAGAAGCGCCGTTCTGAGCGAGCAGAGCAGCACAGAATCCGCAGTGAGAGAGAGAAAGAGCGACAGAAGCGTCTGGAGGTATAGTCATGTTCAGGCTGCTGTAATGTAATTTATCTATTTATTGAGCCACCTCCTCCCATTTCAGTCCTGCTCCTCTTTTTCTCTGCATCCATGTTTGTTTAGGACGAGAGAACTCGTAAGGAGGAGGAGGAGGCAAAAAAGAAGGCAGAAGATGACGCTAAGAAGAAGAAAACCCTCACCAGCCTCCACTTTGGAGGCTACATGCAGAAGTTGGTGAGTCGGTGGAAGGTTCATAGTGGGGTTTCTCCAAGAGTAGTTAAAGTGTAAAAGGCGTAAACCAGAGCAATGTTTTATTTCACTTTCCAACAGACAGAAAAACGGAGTGGTAAGAGGCAGACTGAAAGAGAAAAGAAGAAGAAGATCCTGAGTGAAAGACGCAAATCTCTGGACATTGAGAACATGAACCAGGAAAGACTCAAGTAGGTGGAGAGACGTCGTGGCATTGTAGCCTGTAACACAAGAAAGACATAAATATATATATTTTTTGTTAGGGACAATCTTTATGATACCCTCAAGGCAATGAAAATAATCCCTCAACATGCCAAAAACAACATAAATCGCACTGTCCCATTTTTCTGTATCTCACAGGGAGAAAGCTAAAGAGCTGTGGGAGTGTATGTACCAGCTGGAGGCAGAGAAGTTTGAACTGCAGTACCAGTTGGCCAGCCAAAAATATGAGGTGTGTGTGCTACAGTACACAACACATATCGTTAAAGTCACCTCATTAGAGTAACCTTTGAATGTTTTCTTTCGTTCCAGATTAATGTGCTGAGGAACCGTGTGAGTGACCATCAGAAAAAGTGAGAAACCAACTGAAACTGTCCTCTCTTTTCTCTCTCTGATGCCACACGGTTATATAAAGAGATAGATAATTTTTTTTGACCCCAGTATGAATCAAGTATGGTGGCCCTGCAGTGCAAAAACTTCACAAAGCAATTCACAAAAAAACAGTTGATTGTGAATTGCTGCTGTGTTTTGCACTTCAAGGCCACCATAGTCAAGCCACAGAAACACCGATCCTACACTTCCAATGATGTCACTTGATGGCATCTTTTGTTAAACCCTTCCTGTCTGATAAATTCCCAGGTTTGTAATGCAGGCTTTTTCTTTAAAACATGTGGTCTTTGAAAGCTCCCCCTAGTGCCACAGTACACATTATAGAACTGTTCCCTTTGTAGTTTGTCTACAACTTGTGTGATTTGTTCATCTTTAACAGGGGAGATGGCCCTAACCCTATAGTAAAAACTATATCTGTAGTCTGTCTCCCCTAAAATATTTTGTCACAGAGGTGGCTTGGTTGGGGATGTATTTTGAGCAGCACATATTATTATAGGAATATTATAAGAATACTACAGACAACAGTGGGTCTATATGATCCTCTCGCTCTTGAGCAACTACTCATTGCTACTTGTCACTTTGAGTACATGTAATATAGAATTAAGTATTTATAGTATATAGTTTAGATAATATTATAGATCCAAGATGAAACTGACAGAATGAGAGAAAAGTCATTATTATGCATTACCTCCCATTTTCATTCTCTAATGTAATGACTAAATTGAACTTGTGAAAAACTGTGTCAAGTGCCCAAAGGTTGCCATATTTCGCACAAATGCCTCAATTTTACTGACACACATTACTCAAACTTTTAAGAAAACTTCAGTTCATAAAAATCAATAATTACGTCTTGGAATTCAAGTTCTAGGAATAACATTAAAGGTGGGGCCCTAAGATCATGCTGCAGTACGACTGGAAAAACTTAAAAGAGAAAACTGACTAAATGATTCAATAATTAGAATTATATTAGCCTTTGGCTTCAGACATAAACTGTCACACATATATTCGAGTCTCAGAAACAACAGTAAAGTTGTCCAGAGTTATAATTGTGCTACATTTAAAAGACCATGTGCACATGTTCATTTGTTGTGTCAGTGGATATGTAGCAGCTCTCATTACTAACTAAATGGCATTTTGCAGCCAGAAAAGCAGCGTCCCGCCTCCGCTCCCGCCTTCCTCTTCTCCTGTCACAGCTCAACTCTCATTTTGCTTGTCAAGAGTTCACAAGCCCTTCTCAGGCTCTATTCCTCTAACTTGGAGAGCTGTATGGCTGGGTATGGCAGGCTTGTCAGCTGCCACACCTGTCACAGACACATTAAAAGACAGAGCGAGAGAAAGAGAGTATGTGTGCTGATTGTTTTTTTAAATGGATTCTGCAACCTCATAACATTAGCTAAATGTGCATTCTCAGTGCTTTATGTGGAGTATTTTGCCTCATGTGTCTCTTTCTTTTCAACAGTTCCAAGAGGACCAAGAGAGGCCTAAGGAAATAGACGCTGACCTGCTGAGTAAGCAGTTTAACCATCAGAGCCATCTTGCAGCTACCACCTAAAACCAAGCCCTGGCTTTCCTGCCACACCCCAGTCCCACCTGTTTCCCTAATACTATCACCTACTGAACCAATTATATCCAGATTTCCAGCTCCACCTCACTGTTTTCCCTCCTCTTTGGATCCTTTGTCTTTAAGGGGGTGTAAATAAAACCATCTCAGTTCAATCAATAGCTTCTTTCATTTTCAGACCTCTGAGCGTGGGTGCATCAGTTTATTTACTGGCACTTAAAACTCAACAGAGAGTAACATGACCCTGCAGTGCATTCAAGACTTGAATGCAGAAAGCCTGAAGCCAAAGACAGGAAGAGGTATCTTCTTACTCAGACAGGCTATGACATGACAGGGAAATGCTGCTCCTTGGGCCAACGCCCAGACCTCCACCCAACACACACAAACTGAAAGAGAATGAATCATTTTAATTTACAAGGGAATCCAGGTGGGAAAATCCTCTTTATGAAAAAAAAGTCCCTCCTCCAACTGTTTTCAAAGTCATTTGTGTTTGAATTTACATGACGACACTCTTGTCTTGTATGATTAACTAAATCTCAATCAATTAAAAAAACGCACACACGGTTGGGGTGTGTGTTTTTAATTGCTGTGGTCTTAGGGTGGAGTTGCTGTGAGTTGTCTGTATCATTTTTCAGCACTCCACCACCCAGGAGACGGACAAGCTGCAAATCTACTATATCCTAAAATAATCTAAATCAAACTATGCACAGAATATTTCTGGTTTAAAGTGTTTTACATCCATGAAATAATACAAAAAAATATTAGCAACCTCTTCGAAAACAGAATGAGGCATTGAGTTCTGTGTGCCTATGGTGTGGTTTATTATTAGTCAACATACCATGGAGAAGTGAAATGAGCGAGAAAACCTATATTTCATTGCTTTCTGTTACCTGCCAACAAAGCAATGTGGGTGAAAGCTGAAAAAAAATCAGAGAAGATCTAAATCATACAGACGGTTAAATGTCAAAAACTGCGATGTGGAAAGAACACGTTCATGTTTTGAATCTTTGAAGAATGTCACTAATCCCTCACACCACCATACTTGTTCTCGAAGTCAGAGAACGGCATGCACACACACACACCACAAAAACACTGCAAGAATGAAAACTTAATTATTTCAAGAGATCTACAAGAAATGATAAACAGAGAATTCTGTATCTTAAAGCACGCCTTGTACTGTGTAATCTTCAAATATGCACATAGGGGGTACCTTTAGGTCAGTGAGAAAAGACCACCGCTTACAATGTTGTCTTCATATGTGTTATTTATTCTCGATACATACTGAGTGACAGGGAAAGCTCGTAATTTTATATGCCACACACACATTTCTCCAAAAATACATTCTAAGCAATACTGACATCAATCTTTCTCCTCAAGGCAAATGAACCTCAGCATGACTATATGTCTCAAGCGTCAACCGTCTCATCTCTTTGCTGGGTCTTCAAGAAGGATTTGAGTTTTAAGATTTTAAGCCTGTTTTCGGTAAACAAGATTGTGGTTTGGTTATGAGAGCAGATGCCTTGTAACAAGCTTTACAGTAGAAACATTACATATAAAAGTTTAAGATGAAGAACCGCATGTCTGTTTTAAGAAAAAACATTATACTATAACACTATATATTTGAATGTGCAGCTTGTCTCACCTGAGGTGGCAAACACAGATTACGATTCATTAGTCTTATGTTCGAGGGCACAGCCCTTACATTATCTCAACATTATTAGTGTGTTCTGCTGAATTAGAGCATAGAACCATTGAGGACTCTCAGCATGCAGCCAGCAGCTAACACTGACCGTTTCAGGCTATGTCAACTATTGATACATTTCAAATTGGACTTTTAATACTTTCTGGGGGGATGACTCACTTCAAATTTCTATACATAGTTAATCAAAGTGAATGGGCACCAGCTATGGCCTCTTGTGACATATATTCTGATCCTTCTCTGTCTCCAGTTTCTCTGCTTACGCAAGAAAACAAACAATGATGAAAAAAAAAAAAATTTAACACACAATTTGTAAATTTCAATAAGCAAGTTTATGACAAAGCAACAGAAAGGAATACGGCCCTTTAAAAGAGAGGTTGGATACTTCAGTAATTATGCACTGGAAATGGGGGGGCTGGCTCTGTCCAAAAGGTGACATGGTTTTACTACTTAGCATTTTACATCTTGTTTCTATAATGAAAGTGTAAAAATTGTGATTTTATAGGTCCCTTAAACCCTGTAAAACCACAATGTGTCGCTTTAACTCTTCTGTTTCAACAACAAATGAGATATAGCGTGTTAATAATTACAGAGCTTTAGATGTTAAGGTAGGTAGATTTTGTTACCTTTGCACAGAGTCAGACTAGTTTTCTCTACCTGTTTCCTGTCTTTGTGCTAAGCTAAACTAACTGGCTGCTGGTTGTAGCGTTATATTCAATGTACAGACATAGGTGGTATTTATCACCTCATCAGCTCTCGGCAAGAAAGCGCAGAATATTTCCCAAATAATCAATCTATTGCTTTAACTGTTTAGGCACTCTTGTTGCAAGCTGTTTATTTTTTTTTTTTTTTACAAAACAAAATTTCACTAAATCAGAGAATGAAACAGATAACACAACAAATAACAAAATATCACTCCAAATAGCACTGAACATTATAAATGTAGCATTTCTTTGTGTTTGTGTGGAAACCTTGAAAATCCAAATGTTTTCTCTTGAACTGAGAGTTTGCTCAGTCCTTTCTTGTTAATTCTTTATATACTGGAGGGCACATTAAACACAATCTACTAACTTCAAGAAAGCAAACAAAACAAAACATATTTAAAAAATATATTGTTATTATGATGCTTTATACTTATGGAGCACACTCTTTAGACTTTCATCTGATAGCAATAGTGTCACAAACACACAGTCCATTTCCCCTCTCTTTTTTTTTTTTTTTACTATATTTTTTTTTTTACTATATTTCTTTTTTCTTTTTTTTACTTTCGTTTTTGGCTGCTCAGTCCTCAAAGCCACAGTGGATATTTTATCTTTTTTAGCCACCTTAGACACATTTGACAACGCCATTCATGAATATAAATGATCACTGCGAGTAACTTTCACTCCAGTTAACATTGTCTATCCACATTGTCTCAGGTATTGTGACTCTCAGGCCATAAGAACAGTTTTTTTAACACACACACACACACTTAACCTACCGAAAACACACTCACCCGCTTATATACAGACAGAAACATATCCAAATTAAATACATACAATACCACAGGATTATCCATGAAATTGAAAGCTCTCTTTTCTCTAAATTATGTACAACATATGATTGACTCTTAATTGATGGGGCACTTAACAATATGTGAAGAATGTCATTTTACTCTCCTCGTTGCAAGGGTGTGGCCACAGCACTGTCTAAACATGCCGGTTTCCATCTGCAAGCACAAACACGAGCACATGCTTGAAAAGACGCAGAAACAGAGAGAAAAGAGACAGACAAAAAGGTTTTGATCCTTAGGATACAAAATCTGCACATTTTGGCCTCTCCTGGCCTTTACATCTAATAACATGCAGGTTACAAGTATTCAGACATTAATTATACCTCTCAGGCTCTGTGGTGCAATTCGACTCGTCCATCGCACTCACTCGATAATTTGCACCGACCTGTGCACCGCTGTGGTGGTGTCATTGACAAAAAGTAATTTGTTGAAGCCCAGCTGTGGATCAAAAAGAAATCAGTTAAGGGTGACACTTGTTCTTACTGTAAGAGTAAATATACTGTGTCAGCAACTTAGAGGAGCCTCAGGCAAATCATGGAAGGGTGAGAACCGGAGTGTTTCCCTACCAGCTCTATTTCTCTGTCACTTGTGTTTCTTAATTTATGGCATATATAAGCATTGCTACTGCACATAAGCACACTTGCTCATATTCACAGACAATTCTTTCGTATATTCTGTCTATCCTCCACCCTGGTCTCCTCTTAATCTTTCTGTCTTGACCTCTTTTTCATCTTGCTGCTATTCTACATGTGTTCTCCCATAATAGACAGTGAGCACTGAAAGCCAGTCTGCCAGGATTCCAATGTGACTGTTTCTGTATTCACTGAACTTTTGGGTGGGGCAGGAGGGAAGGGAAAGTGACTGTGTGAGCCAGAGGAGTAATAATAAACCCACTGCAGCTAGGCCCTCCCACAGCACATGCAAGGCAGTGCTTTTACGTCTATCAGGTCCTACTAATCCTAAACAGCTAGGAGAAATTAAAAATGCACACCAAACAAAAGCTCGGTTCTCAGGATGTTAACCTGTTACAAAGATACAATAGGTTTGTGTTGTGTTTGCCATAGAGAATTGAACACACAATCAGTCACACGTATTGCAGCGCGGTCAAATTTACCTTCTTCGCAACACCTTGCAAATTCTTGTCATTCCATAAGCTGTAGAGCAGCAGAGAAGCTGCTTTGCTGCCTTTGGGGAAGGACCTAGGACAGAGAGGCAGGAATCATTAAGGAACAGCATGGGCGAGCACAAACAAGAGCAGGCAGAAACAAAATAGGGCAAACCACACACAGGCATGAAAGCATTGTAAGGAAAAGGAAGCACTACTTGTATTTTAGATGCTTTGACAGGAAAAAGACAAAAAAAGTATTTGTGTTGAAATAACTGCGTGGCAAGTTCCAACAGCAACTGCAGTAACGGTAGCTTAACAAAGTTCCTTGATATATATCAACTATAAAAGAGGACGAATGCCAGCAAATGTGGCAAACTGTGCCACATATTTTTTGTGCATATTGTATGCTGTCTGAGATTTCTGTTGTAACATCAATATAGTGGAGGCGAATGCCATTTTGTTTGAAGTGCTCACAGAATTTACAAGAAACACCATTTGCAACCCAAGATACAATTTACCCATTGCTCTGGATAATCCACAGAACATGCTCCCAAATAACAGTCATTGTGTAAGGACAGAGGCAGAAATCTCAAAACAGGGGCTGATAAACCTCAAAATGATCTACACAGCTAAACAACACTAGAGGTAAGTGAAAACAACCAACCCTTTAAGGAAAGGTAAAGTAAGTTCTTTTGTATAGCACCTTTCAAACACAAATCAACCAAATGCTTTGGTATCAAATTTCATAGCTCTTTGAAGGCCGGATGCTGGGCCAGCTTGGATTTAAGATTGCTGCTGGCTAATCTCAACGATCGAGCACTCAATGGGCAGACCGCGGTCCGAGCTGGAAGAGCACAGGATGAGAGGAGGTGGACTCGGGTCAAAGTGTATGGACACTGTTTCTCAAATGTTTACCTTTTTGTATACATGTATATTCAAATGGAAATGTTTTATTTTATTGTATTTATTGTATATGCTATTTAATTATCTGTTCTATGTGTAGCATGCAAAGTTTCATTTTGTTGTACAACCTTGTGTTAGAAAATACATTTCCTTGATCACTGAAATGAATTTAAATCTGAATCTGAATCACCTGAATATGAATAAATAAAAACTCACCCATTCTCGCTGAGGTCCGCCAGTGATGACACCAGTTCATTATTAATGACCTTCTTGCTGACCTCAGTGTCCGCCAACATCAGAGTCCGTACTGTGCCACAAGCTGTTGCTATAGTCTCGTCAGAGTTTCCCATCTCCCGGGGGCTAGAGGAGAGGAGCCTGCTGAGCTCAGGCAGCAACTGCTTTGCTACAGGGAAGACGTAGGAAACATAACAGTACATCAGTTTTATATAGTCTAACTCTACATTTATGTATCTGCAACACTGCCGCCTGCAAAACAAACATTTCATGCTTTGCCTTACCCATGGAAGTCTGCAAACTGCTGGTCCGAGACATGTTACCCAGCAGGGACATGGCAGTCTTCTGCAGGGTGTGGTTAGGAGACTTTAAAAGAGGGGTCATTTGCATCAGAGCCCCCAGCTTTTGAACCAGAATCTGGCTCATGGCACGGGACCCCTGGAAGAGAAGCAAACACAATACAGAAAGAGGAAGAACATTAGCTGTAGCATATTATCACCCTATCTGCATTGTGATATCAAATTCATCTTCACATGACTTTTATATCCCCTTGTTGTAACTTCTTCTTTTGTTCTCGAATAACCTTTGAATCCATGGAGACAATACTCCACCCTTTCTCACGAAACCAATCAGTTCTTCTCGTAAAATTGTGCCGTTGAGTCATTATTCCTACATCCTTTTTGGCTCTCGTTTTTTTTTTCTTGGTAATCCATTAACACTGCACAAAAATGGTAAGCCTTTGTACTCACCAGTCCCTTCCCAGCAGTGAGGTTCTGCAGGGCACCACAGGAAGCTTCCAGGGTGGCATCTTTCTGGGACGAGCCCAGTAGGGACAGGTAGGTCTGCATAGCTCTGGGGTGGCACAACCACTTCACACCTGATGGGTTGCTGTCCTCTGGCATATCCCGGGAAACATCAAATAAGAACTGAGGAGAAAGGACGAGACAGGGATGAGACGGAGGGGAGGGAGGACTTGAATCAGTTGACAAAGAGGAGTGGAGGCGTGGTGGATGATGCCCACCTCCTTTTGAGCCTTGCTGCTCTTGGGGCTAAAGCATCCAATTGTGGGACTTTTCTTGCTCCCAGACTGGCCCTCTATTGGGTTGAACTTGCTGAAGCACCCAGGGGACTCCGACTCCAGTTGATAGGTCAAGTTGTGGAGGATGCATGTACAGTTCTCAACAGACTAGAGGAGAGCAGAGGAGAGGATAATAACTGTTAATCTTCAAATCACAATTTTCACAAATAGTACATTAAAAGGTCTTATTCTCATATTAATACGAGTAATACGATATTAAAATATATTTTATAAGTTTCTCAATTGCAAAAATAAAAAGAACACACTTTGCACTTCTCATTCACTGCCACTATATGACAAAGGAAGGCCCCATATACAAGTTCAAGTAAATTCAGTTGTCAGTTAGTTAATGGGGCTTGATAAATGGTAAAATGATCCTTAATCAACCAGTCAGTGAAACACAATGAAATGAAAACATAGAGCTAAGACACTTACAGTTCATTCCAATAAGATGAGCTGACACAAAATATATTCTCCCTCTGTCTGTCACACTAATCCACTACTTCAATTAAAGAAGCTTGTGTAAACACTGCACTATCACAGACATGGAATTAAGCACACGTCCACACCCAAAACTTCCACAAATGAGCGGGTACACATACAATCCGCTAAATATATACACATGCTGACTCCGCCTGCAGTATTTACCTGCTTATACGTGTGTATTTAAGGATGTGTGGATGGGGTGTGTGAAGCTATGTGTACTTGTATTATATGTGTGTGTGTGTATATGTGCTTAAGGATATATTTAGAATCTCTGTGAGAGACACTTGTTCTACTAGAACTAAACTAGAGTACGTCACCTGATGAATCCAACCATAGCAGTTTTAATTGATACTAGTTCCTCTCTGTAGCCCCTTGGCAGTGGGGCTGTGACCCAATATTATATTGTTATATAAAATAGTAGAAATGCCAGTTAGATTAAAATTATATAGAACAGAGGAAACCAGTACAGCCTCAAACTTGTTAAGAAGGAACCAATAAATCAATAACATTCTACACAATTAATCGACAATCAAAATAAGTAAACAAAATAGTTTCTGATTAATTTTCTATTGTGCAGAGCCATTCAATTTTAAGTCCTCTATTAACTAATGCTAGCGGTGGATGGGAAAAGGTTCTGTTGATAGAGATGATAAAGTTTACCCGGTCATCTGGGTTTTCTTCTGCCACACAGGACTGGACGTAACTCATGAGGGAGTCGATGAGGCCTCGGCACTCTCTCATCTCGTGCCTCTCCTTCTTGTCGGAGCTGCTCAGGTTCCTACACACAATTCAGTCATTCATTTAAATCCATGTGGAAACACATTCAGGTTCTAACATATCTAGAATACAATAGCAGAAACAGAACTGAGTGCCTCCGTATGTAACTTGCACCATCACACACCCTTTTAGCAAACTTGATCATGGTGATTAGGCACGATGTGCACAGTTGTTTCCAAAGCATGATTTGTATAAGATGTGTACATTAAATAACTTCCAACTAAAAGTAAAACAGTTATTTTGTCTTATTGATCTAAATCAGGATGTAATCCTTCAATGCAGATAAAACCTATCACATAAAAAACCTTTAAAGGCACTGGATCAAAAACAACAATAAAAGGCAGGAATAAAAAAAAAGAGCTTCTCACTGTAATGAAGGGTACCAACACATTTAACTCAGTAGATCAATGTTTTGACAAGGGCTGCAACTAACGATTATTTTCATTATGAATTAATCTGTCAGTATTTTTTCTGATTTAATAAACTGAAAATACAGGTGAATCACAAAGGAGAAACTGAGAAGATTTCTGTGACATGACAAATGTTGCTCTATTTAATGAAACTTATTGGGAACTATCACACTGTGCAAAACATGAAATTCAGCCGTTTAAGGTCACAGAGGCATTGATCCTATCCTCACCGCAGGCACCCCGTGGCGCTGTAGAAGACATCAGGGTGTATGTTGTTGTTGGTGCTGTTGTCTGACCAGCAGGTGAATGGCACCACCACATTCTCAGTCAGGGCGGGCAGTGCTGTAGCTATAAGTTCTTCCTTCAAATCATCAGCGGAGGACAGGTTCCATAGCAGGCCTTCGTTAAAGTTACAAGCATTAAGGTTAGGGATAGGGCAAATACTTTTGAAAGTAAACTTTTCTACCCAACGTTTTGAGGTTATGTCCCAGTAAAAAGGTCTTACCAGTGACTTGTTTCTGGGTTACGGCAGAGTCTACGTCCTTCAGGAGATGCAGGGCCTTAGCTATACCGCCACAGTGCTGAACCTGCAGCTTGTTCTCATGGTGCTTGAACACCAGGTTCCTCAGAGCCCCAGCAGCAGCCTGGCTCACTCCAGCGTTGGGGCTTTGCAGCAGGGTCACCAGAGCAGGGATACCTCCTAGTTGCAAAACCTGTGACACAGAAATGTGGAGGGAACAGGTGTTGAACAACTACACAGCACAAGCAGCCAAGTGCGATGATAAATTCTTTCTCCTCCCTTTCCCTCACAAAGGTCTTCACAGAGCGCTCCACCAATTGTATCACCACTACAAGACAATCCTCACACGAGTGGGATGTGAAAAAAAAAAACAGTGCAGTGCATGTGTGCATGTTTGGAGGGTGTGTCTATGCATGTTAAGAACAAGCATTTTACAGTTTATTAGCGTGCAAGTGTTGGCACGGACCTCCTGTTTGGTGTGCTCCTCTTTGTAGGAGGCGTGTTGGATGAAGGTGGCTCCACACTGCTGGAAATTCTCCTCAGGTTGAGACAGGAACTCCACAGCCTCCTTAAGTGTCAGGTCTGGCATGGCCATCGCACCGTTCACCCTGCAGGAAGGTTGGGAATGAGATACTAAATCAGTTTCATGCTACAAGCTCAGTAAAAAGAATGGATATGATTTAATGTAGGAAATAGTTAAAAGTAACTAACAATATGCTCAGGCAACAAGGACAACTAAACTCCAGTTTCCAACAAAAAAAGCTGTATGGAGAAGCTATTACCGTAAGACTGTGATATGATTAATATGTAAAATAATTGATTGCATAAATGTGCCTATAATATGTAACCCATTTACATCATTCAGCTGCATCCTGTACAAGTATAATGTTCCACATTTCAACCCCTTCTTATTTCCTGAAAATGTCAAAAAAAACAAGTGAACTCACGCTGATGTCTGCTCTATCTTGTTTGACATTTTGATGGTACCCATCCTGCCGTCAGTGTGAGACTGAGCAGAGGGCGGTCGAATGATGCGTGTCTGGCTGCTGGTCATCTGAGAGCCGTTGTTTATAGAATAGGTGCTGTGTCTATTTACTCGAGTCTGGAAGTTGTGCTGGCTTTGGACAGTCTGCCCTTTGGCTCTCTAAAAAAAAAAGAAATTAAAATTACTCTTACAATACGGTTCTGTGAAGTACTTGCAGTCTTTATGTTATTTGTTTGAAGTATTGGTTCCCTAAAAACCACATGAAAATGTTTACATACTTCAACGACGCTGCAATTTAACATGAAAATAAATGAATACCATAACAGTTGCAGGAGCAGGAGCAGGAGCAGGAGAGATGGGAGGAGCCAAGGCAGGGTCACTGCGACTGGGTTTCAGCCCATTGGGACTTTTGGGCCAGGTGGAAGCGTTGATTTGATGTTCCCACATGCCTGAGGTACTGACATGTCTTCCTCCCGTGGTCTTACTGGATAGAGTGCGACTCCTTTGAGTATTAAACTAAAAAGAAAGAATGTCTTGTTTAGGAGGTTTACTTACATAAAACACACAGCATCTGCACAATATTTTGTTCAGATTATTCAGAGGGTGAAGTGAGTGAGTTGCAATCTGCAAATACGCCGCTGTATGCCACTAAATCCTACACATTGGACCTTTAAATTAGTTAATTTAAAAACTATATCCATAATCAATTCATTGTTTTCAGTTAAGTAAGAAATCCCAAATTTTCTGATTTAAGCTTCTCCAATATTTCGTAGTTTCTTTCCTCCGTGACAGTAAACTGAATACAATCTAGGCCACAAAAAGAAAGAAAGTAGCAAACCAACTTTCCTCAAAGAGATCCCCTGTAAACTAAGACAGAGGAATTTGACCTGACACAAAGTTTGCATACCTATTCTTTTGCTCCTTTTCATCCGTTAACATTAAAGGCAACAGAATGCACCAAATAATCACACAGACCACAGTAACAGAATACCTCACTGGTCATTGGAGACCAACTCACGCAGTTGTGTTATAAGACTGCCGGTGCAGTTGAGCAGTTTCTCACAGAGGACCTTTGTGTGCAAGTCAGACAGAGCAACCGTTAAACCTGTCTTTAACAATCCTGATGTCAAGAAATGGCCTAATCTCACGTAATTATGCTTTATGTATGAATCAATTTAGTTGGACTATTATATATTTATTTTTCTTGGCTTCGCCTGTGTGTGTTTGTGTGTATACAAAACACACTATTCGAGCTTTGCCACCTAGTAACTTGTCATAGCTTGAGCAAAATGACAGAACATGTCTGGCTAATACTTCGATGATTAGTCACTCTGGTAATTAAAGCATCGTCTCCTATTGGCTTATTTGAAGAACGGCATTAGAAGAACACTCCCATTAGTCATTTAACACTCTGGATGTTAGTGAGAAGGATAATGAGCGCCAGTGAGACAACGAACCCTTCCTTTTCTCATCACCCACAAATCATGCTCAACAAGCCAACATCACAGCTCTAGAACAATTTTCTCACAATTTATCACTGCAGCTGACATGTTGACATTGTGATTCTGGGACTTTATCAGGAAGGCATATTGGCTAATGGGGAAGAAAGTAACACACACACACATTGTACTTTTTGTGTACCGACTCTCTTTCCTGTTTCAGCGGGTTGGTTGCCCAGTTACCAGCCGAATGTCAGCCCTGCTACTCCGCAGCAAAAGCGTGATGCTCTGTCGACAACACGTTTGATAATGTTGGCACAAGAAGCTTCCTTTTCCTTGGGATTCCTGGTTAACAGGAGTAATTAACTTTTTACGACAGAATCATAACTCTTTATAGTCTGGCTCGTCCACAATAGGTGGACTGCTAGCTGCAAGACGCAGCACAGTCCTGAACAGTCCTGTGTTTAGCCATTAACCCTGGTAATGGCTAAACACAGGACTGTTTAACCTCTGTTAATATTAACGTACAGATGTGTTCTCATTGCGGTTATGATGTTGTAGATGTTATCACTGATGGTTATGATATGATTATCGTAGGTTACGGCTGTAACTGTAGTCTTTGAGACACCGCTAAAGTGATGTTAGTTAATGCTATGCTTCACACAGACACTGTCTTTGCATGCATTATAATTTGGCACCATTGATCTAAGATCACACACACACATCTCAGTGCGGCTTTAAACCTCAGCACACGCAGGAGGAGAGGTACCTCGAACCTCGCTGACATATGGTCAGAATGAACAAAGACACCCATCTTTTCTGACCCGCAACCCCCCATGCGCACCCATACATTCAGACACGTGCACACCTTTTTTTTATACGTTTAGTTCCTTTTAGTTAGATTGTATATTGTATGTTTTGCTTTTATTATCTTTTAAATAAATGCTTGTGTTTATACATGCCTACACAGTTTGGTGCCCCTTTAAACCCTTGTTGCACCAACAAATGGTGCCGCTGTGTTCACCATAGCAACTACAATAAGAACTGACAGTGTGTTTACTCTCAAACTGCTGCATGCTCCCTTCATTTGGGTACAGCCTGACTGAGCCACCGGGGACTTCCTTATTTCATGGCTGGATAGGAGACAGATGCAAATTCAACTGAATAAATACAGGCAGCATGGAAAAACAGCAGGATGCTTCTTTGTCTTATTTGGGAACATAAATTAAGTAAGAAATACTAAAATATGACTTTATTTATTGCTATCATTTAGATAGGGAAATAAATGACTGATGCAGCAACGCTGTAGAATATGACTGAATGAATAACTGAATGATATGATGTAAACGGCTTCCACAGTCTATGAAGTGCCTCCAAATAAAAAACTTCATAGTTTACTTGATGAAGTAAGGGATAACTTTGATATTTCTGGTTGTATTACTCGATTGTGCACAATCTTGCAAATGAATGAGCAGGACTGTTTATACTAATGGCATTAGTTTTGCATCAAAGTGATGAAGTACATCAGTTTTAGCATTTATTGGGGAGAGATGTCACTGCTCTTGCCAAGTGTAATTTCTCTTCTAAAGCATCAGATCGTTCATGACCAAAACCACAAAAACACTAAAAACCAAAAGTTAAGACATATGAGACCTGCTTAAACCGTTTCTTTTACTTTAACATTATAGCTCTCTGTCAGAGTTTCATTCATTTGCTGTTGTAGCTCTGCAAGGCATAGTTGCAGATTGTAATTCACTTGTTTCACCCTCCTACACGCAAAACGCCCCTGTCTAGTGCCAGGGTTTGGTTTGTCCCTTCTGGGCTACTCTATAAACATGGCAGTTCAACGTGGTGGACTCAACAGTGTCTGTAGATATAAAGAGTTCATTCTAAGGTAGCAAAAACATATTCCTATATTCAGGTGATTATACACTAAAGAAAACATGGTTATGCATATTATATTTCATTTCTGCCAATAGATCCTCCTGAATGTTACTAGACCTTTAACAAATCACAATGCGATGCATCAGAAATGTATTTCATGATATGATGATTATAAATAGTCATCAACACGCTTCCTTGACATACCTCAACTCCCTGTCAGTAGGTCATGTCAGGACAACCCAGAATAAATACATATTCTGACACACACACACACACACACACTCATAACCACAATGATGTCAACATTACTGCTATGTGGAATTTTGGTTAGTGCAAATGAGTTGGACACACCCTGACTTACTGACAACACTCAAACTGAGAATGACATTCAAAATCAGTATTTGTCCATTTCTAAATTCAGGAAATCACTCACCATGCCTGGTTGCTAGACACAGTAGTATGTCCTATTAACTGCTGATTATACAAAAAACAAACAACCTCCGCCTCCCTGCCCCCAGATTTCATGTTACACACACACACACACTCCCTCAAATTTAATTAAAGGTAATTAAATTGAAAGGTGCCGATGGAGAAATAATACTGGTATAGGATTTGTGCTTCAACCGTTGTTTTATGGTCATAATGTCATACATCATCAAGCTAAAACATACTTTTATACCTATTGATGCACTCTGTGATTCTGATACTGAGCTAAACATGCCAAAATGCGTATAGGCTGTTTCCAGCCTTCATGCTAAGATAACAACAACTAATCATGCCTTTAAATTGTTACTGAAAGAATGGCTAAAGAGAAAAAAAAACATTTAAAAACCTAAAACATTAAAACTGATCAGCAGTAATGTAACACATTAGTAACATATAAGTATTTGTGCCTGCAGTAAAACCACTGATCTGGTGTTTTAATTATGATTCTGTGAATGGGAAAAGCATTTGTTCTATAATTATCTGTGAAACTGGTACATGAGAGAAACAATTACCGCTTTGTTGAAGCCTGTTGACACAGTGGAGTTGACGCGGCTGAAGGTGCCATTTGATTTGGACGGAGAAAACTTGAACGATCCAAAGTCATGTATCAAAGACTGAGAAGACGGGCCTGTGAGAAAGAGGAGACATAAGAGAACTGAAATGAACAGAGAGAAGAAGAACGCAAGAGAGGCAGTCAAACAGAGCGAGATGTTACTTGCGGTGCTATGACAAATAACAAAATCTGATGCACGTTAGACGTTGTCATGGTGATAATGATATAAACGGTACAATGAACATTAAACACACCGCGAAGACAGCATGAATGTGTTGTTGTAAACCCTATATGTGAGCTTCAGGTTTCAACAAGTTGTTCACAATGTGTCACAGTGTGTCCACATGTTTATGGTGGACTTCCAGGTATATATAAAAGTAATTCATTTAACTGATATTCAATTGGACAATAAAAAGAAGGATTTAAAGACGAAATGAATAAACAAATGCACAAATATATAAATCAAATTCAATGATGCGTTGATTTAATATTTTTTTAAAGCATTTGATTAAGTTTAACCAAATCTCTGACTAAACATCAATAACTCAGATGGTCAATAATTTGAGCTTTGTTGTAAATAAGAAAATTCTTGTGTAAACTCATTTATTTAGCATTCTTTAGTTGTTCATTGCCAATTAGTCAGACAGAAAGACAGACGCGACAATGACAGTCCCAGTTAGCAGGCTTTGTGGTAAGCTTTTGTAAGTTTAGGCAAATCCAGCCTTCACACTTAGCCTACATGCTTTATCACCTCCGTCTGTCTGTCTTGTTGGGTGATTCACAGGAACGTGAGACTCACTGCCACACAGTGCCTGCCAAATCCACGACTGTGACTTCACCTTAATAAGATTATGGTTGTCAAAACAATGGCAAACTCATCATTACACCATCATTACACCATTTCAGACCATCCCAAAGAATAAAGAGCTTTTGTCAGTTCACTACTATAAACTATGTAGTATATATATAGTGTACTATATAAAGTGCTATCTACTCTAGCAGATTATAGAAATAATATATATAATTATAGTGATGTCTACTGCCACTCCAACATAACAGAGGTGAATGCTTCAAAAAACTCAACAGCAATATGTCTTTCTAGTAACAGTGGACAGAATAAGTCTCGGTCCTCACTGTGGACAGTTTTAATAGAGCCGATTTCTGCGGAAGAAAGCAGTTTTAGTTGTATTGCACACTGAAGATGGCATACGTGCATTCGTATTCACTTGTGCCGAACATAGAAGGATCTATAAGAAAAGTCTCATCGATTTCGATGAACAAACTCTAAATCTGGATCTCTTCTTGTAGACCTACTTGGACAGTACTGTTTTTCTCTAGCTTTAATTCTTTGAGCACAAACAAAAATCCCATCACCTGCATTGTGTTGGGTCAGCAGCAGAAGTCTGTATCGCCTGATAGCACTTTTTGAAATTTGGTTGACTTGCCCCTTTAAACGTGACAGAACAGAGTTGGTCTCGGCTGTGAATATCTCCAGTGGCAAAGACCCAGCTAACATCGGACATTATCGTCATTGTCGCTCCAAACGCTGTCAGTAAATCAGGCAGTTTTGGACAAACCAGGAACTTTAACACTACTGTATGTGACTCAGAAACACTGATAAATGCCTCGGGGTCGTGTGCAACTTTAACCTTGGGGTTGTATTTGTTATTATTCAGTGTTTGTCTACTGTTATGTGTTTAGTAGACATTCGCCCTGAGCAAAGTATTCCCTGTCAGGTCTTCATCTGACTTTTAGAAGTTTAGTTTTCTTCTAGTTTCTTTCGACAACTAACTTTCTTGACAAATAAAGACTTAAATGGACAAACCAATTTCAGTTTTCAGATCATTTTGTAGCTCTCCGTGCTGTTGAGCAGAGATGATAAAGCATTTATTTTCAGGCACAGCCTTTAAAGTTTAAAGTTTTTGTTTTCCTGGAATCTACCTGGTGTGCTACATGACGAATTACAATAACATTTGAATTTTTTTTTTTTTTTTAATTTTAAACAGGCCAGAGGTGTCCTTATCATCTGCACCACAATTTAATAATCACTTGAAGATGTCAAAATGTCAGTAAAACAGTAAAAAAAAAAAAAAAAAGCACAGAGACAGAATAGCATACTTTACAGATTACTAACAAGTTCTACTGATGATCCTGTTTCCATGTAACAACCATCTCACCACAACAGGAAGACTCGCCCACATTTCAAAATATTCAGCTTTTCCATGCTGGTGGATCTTCATAAAGCCTCGTGCAGTAATGCCTAGCACCAGAGCTGTTTTGAAAGACTGTAATGTAATTTTCTAAATGTGTGCCTGGGCTTTTGTGCGCACATGGGCTGCATTCCTAACTCACAGAGGGGGTGAAAGAAGGACAACTGTGGAGCAAAAATCACTTTCTTTCAGTCAAGGATCACATTTCATACCGGTGATAGGGCCTATTCAACTATTCAACACACCTCTGATACCTGCTACTGTCACCTTTAAAGGCGGACCCCCCCCCCCCCACCACCCAACAAAAACAACAAAACATTAACTCCTGAGCCTCACTGGGATTTCCATCTGAAAGTCTCACACTATAGGCTACAGCAGCTTAACCTGAAAGCAGCAGAAGTGTAAAATCCCCCTTCTAGCCTAGAAAAAGAAAGCACACTGGAGCGGTGTGGTTTACACACATTAGTCGGATTAAACACGCAGCGCAGGACACAGCATGTTCAGCCTGTTTGATGGATGCAGCTGATATTGTTGGGGAAGTTGTGTGACGCAGGACACAAAAAAGCTTCTAATGTTAACCAACAAGTGTAAAAGTGACATTAGGACGAGTGAAACACAACATGGCAAAAAACAATACAACATATTTGTTTTATGCGGTGTTATTAATAACATTATGAAGTTGTAGAAAAGCCCTTTTCCATACTTGAAGGAGACAGCGAGCCGTTTTTCCCGGGTTTGGACTTGCTCCTCTTGATGGTGTGCACCTGATCCAGCACGCGCTGCTGTCCCGAGCGCAGCTTGTTGTCGGAGGGCAGCGCGAGCGACGTGTCCTCCGCTCCCAGGCTCGTCATCGCGGATCTCAGCGGCTCCGGAGCCATCATCTTCCTACTTTGGTGCCCTTCTTGGAAATGAAAGAACGAACCAGGGTTCTGAGGGGAAAAGAAGGCGCGGTCCGGGTGAATCGTGCTGTTCGACTGTCCGCAACGAAGTTCGTGCCAAAAATGCAGAAAAGCTGAAATGTTCCCAGAACAGCGGCGGTGAACTCCACCTTCGGGACCGCGCCCGTCCGAGGTGGGACCGAGGACAGTTGACAGGCAGGTGCGGAGTGATGGGAGGGGCCGGGGCAGACATTACAACTGCTGCAAGAAGGACTAGCACGTACTACACAGTCTGTATACTTCTACTTTACTTTAATCTATGCAATTTAAGTACTTAACTCCACTACATTTGTCTGCCCAGCTTTAGTTAGGCTACTTTACAATTCTTATACCTTATACTGTCCAGTGAAAAAGTCTGGTGAATAAATTGAAGGATTGTGTTCCTTTGTGGGTTGAGAAAATTCCCACACTTCTTAAGCGACATAAACCATTTAAAAATACCTTAGCCCTCCTAGCTGGAAAATGAATGCATTGTCACAAAGCTGAAAACAGGAAGTTTTTCCTAAAAAAGAAATACAAAGTTGACTTTTATTTTTTTTAATTTTTTTTACAATGCATTGCTGTAGATGAAACTACCAAACTACCACTACTAACAGAAGCTTAGATATAACATAGTTAGTGATAACAAATAATTTGTTGTTAATTAGCATAACAATAAACCTATAGAGCAGTCATAGCCTATAGAATGGTAAAATATCGACATGGACCATTTTTCTGCATAATACTTTAACTTTTGTCACTTTAGGTAAATGTTGCTGATAATACCTCAGTACTTTTACTTAGGTAAGGTTTTGAGTGCAGGACTTTTACTTGTGTGGCATTGCTGTGTGTGTCCCACTTCATTACTGAGAGACAGCTGCACAAGTTACTCTTCAGATCAATATGTTACATACAAAACTTGTACATCCCATAGACGTGTGCCAGGGCTTTAGAGATACGTTTCAAACTCCTTAATAGAAACACATTTTGTGTCCTAATAAAACAATTTGGATGGTATATTATTCAGCATAATGAGTGCTTTTACTTTTGCTAGGCCTTCTAAAGTAATCTCTGTTGATACTTTGAGCTTGAAACTTTTGAAATCAAGACTTTTGCTTATGTATAAATTCTGGTGGCTTGTTGCTTCAACTCAGTGGCAGCTTAGCTATAATGATAATGTGTAGTTTAATTTGAAATTGAGTCATGCATATTAAATGTATTGATTCCCATAATGGACACTGCCTCACAGTTTCCCTCGATTCATTATCATTATTAGTCATATAACATCCTCACAGCAAAGATTCACATGTGAACTAGGAACAGCTGGTACTAATAACATTATGCAATACATGTTCGCCACAGTCATTTCAACCAGGCTCTGAAACCGAGGCAGGTAAATAGCTGTCATTCATTTTATGATTTACACATGTGCTTTTCCTACTGTGGCATGCAAAAACAGTCTATTAAAAGACACACCACACATTACCTCTGGCCAAACGCACAGTGGATTGGATTTATTTATTAAGTTGGAAATTTGGGGTTTTTGACAAGACTACTGCAAACTGAAATTGATTTGTCAACTGAGAGTAATTCTTTAAATATTTCAGTTATTACATTTAAATGAATAAAGTAATAACATTTCACATATTACCATACTTTGTTTCAGGGTGAAAGCCACCACTACATATGAGGTGCACAATGGATTCAGAGAACAGCAGCTTATATTCCAGTTTATGATGGTTCATCAATGCTTAATGAGAAAGTGTAACTTTGACTGAAGTTTATCCACCCAATATCTGACTTCCACAGTCAAATCTGAGACTATTAGTGTAACAGGCATAATACACTTATAGTTTTGTGTGTTAAGAGCAGGGATTGGTGAACTATTTCTCTCCATAATTACTGAGCCTTATTTCCATTAGACACACCCGATCTATTGATATGCTCATGTTTCGTGATATTGATGATATCATGCCCCTGCTGTCTGTCGTGATTCACTCCATAAGTCTGCCAGGTAAAACATCTGAAAATGTATCACAATAAGGAGTCCCAACATCTGCAACCTGAGAAAAATATTATCTGAAATATACAAAAAATACTAGTCAGTGACAATAATGTGCACAATGGAAACACATTTTTATAGTTTTGTCTCCATATCTAACTCTCAAAACTTATTTTTTGCCGCTGTATTTCTTGAAGAAAAGTCAGAATAATTTTAGTTTTAAAAGACAAAACATAAAACAACTCATAGTGTACAGAATATTTCCCCCTAAAATGCAAAGAAAGCCACAGAAAAGCCACTGAGCTAGATCATCACGGTTTTTAACTCCAAATCGCTTTGCATGCTTCAGTCAGATGCCCTGCACGCGGTTGTCTCTGGGTTGAATTAGGCTGGACTATTTTTTATTATGTGCTGTGTATCCAGGGAAATTGCTGAGAACAGAGTTAAGACAGATTCGGGCCTGAGCAAGTGCAAGGTATCCTGAGGAGACAACAAAGAAACAGAAGGAATCTGAAAGAAACAGACAGATGGATGAGGCGAAGGAAAGACAGGAAGAACAGTAAGGGGGAAAGAAAGTAGATAATACGAGCACATGTATAACCTGATTATTTTGGCTTAGTTTCTGCAGGTGACATTTTCCCACCACACCCTTTTACCTCAACCCTGCTGAGGTAATAAATGTGTAATGTACCTGTGATGTGTGTGTGTGTGTTTATGACAATGTAAGTCAATGTGGCTGGAGATAAACTCTGATTGGTACATCCCTACCAGAACTTTTATCTGAGAGAGGCGAAGAAACCCGAGTCAAACCTTTGTTTCATCTACTGATTGTGTAAATTCATCCACCGAGGCGAAAGTATAGACTCAACACAAGGCAGTAAAGTTTGATTAGAAAAAAACCTTTATTAGCGAGTACAGCCATGAACAACCTATTAACTATGTTAGCTGTAATCCTGCACTGCTGCGATGCCCGGAGGCTCGTGTGATACAAACCACACCCAGCCTGAGGGATTTATATGTGTGTGTGTGTGTGTGTGTGTGTGAGACTGTTCACGACTTGCAGTTTTGGCAGCATGGCATTGGTAAGTCGAGCCTTGGCAGACAGATAACACGGTGACTAATGTCTGCTAACAAAAGAGCCAAAACACTGGGTGTGAGGAAGTGAACAGACGCACAGGTTGTCCATAACCGCGGCAACGTTACACTTAGTTACAGCCGTATGAAGCCAGATGTCACCCTAAAGCTGTGCCACATTTTCTGCATGCTTGAGCCATGTTATGGTAAAGGTTAAAGTGCTCAAACACCTCAAATCCCAAGCAAATGGGTTGCATGGAGTGAGCATCGTTAGAACCACTGTAGAGTTTGGACGCACAGAACATGTGTCAAGTCATAGCTAATAAAACCATAAAACTACTCTTATCACTTACACCTACACATTGTATGTCCCTTGCCTTTGAAAGTTGCCAACACCTAAGTTGGAGCTTTCAGGTTTATTCACAGGCATACACAACCAAACTATAAAAGTATAGTTTATAGGCTTACAAAGGATTTGTGTTATATTTACATTAAGTTATATATTCGGCGTAATCTGGACAGATAAGACAGCTTTGTTGTTAGTATTGTATGTAGAATCTGTAGCCTAGTAGTAGAGAAAACACAAAAATCTGCATTTAAGCCTATACCCATCAATTATTTTAGTAAAAAAAAACGCCAAACAGAAACTATGAATTATTTAAAGTCACACATCCGTCTGTTTGGCCCTATATTTGTTACAGCTATTATTTTTTTCTTCAGTATTGAGAAATCATAACATTAATTGCTTTCAGTACAGTAAACTGTGCTTAAACATATAACCTGGCTGTTGTGTGAACGTAACACTAACAAGGTTATATAACTGACAGGGAGGCCTGGTATATGTGAGTGAGTAAAGAGACACAATGACTGGGTGAGGGCATTAATGTAAGTGTGTAAAGGTAAAGACTTGAGATGACAGCTCTGTATCACACCAGACTCTGAACTCATCGATCCACGAACAACTTCTGCAAAAATTAAGTGACAGCACCACCTAGCAGGCCAAATGAGAATTGCAACCTATGTGGCATTAACTTTGTGTGTATGACAGAAAGAGTGTAATTCATCTGAGATTAAAAAAAAAATTTCATTATAACTTTCCAAGCGGCTGTAATGTTGTGGAAAACCTGACTACGCAAGTCCCTGTAGACCTTTTTCACAGCAGCCATTTTGACATGAAATAGTGGGGTAAACACTGGTGTTACCAATAACACTCATTGGGTTCTGTACCATTTAGTGTAGCAAAGCCTTTCCAGTGAGCCAGCATGCACAACAGCAGGCCCCTGTCTCTGTTTGGCCTGAATGAAACAGAATGAGTTCATTCGTATAATTGGTAAAACAACTATGTTTACCCTAATGTGTCCGTTCAAAATGGCTGCTGTGAATAAATTGCTACTGTGAAGACAGAAAGGGGGAAAACATACAGGAGGAATAGGTTTTTTTTTTCACAGCAGACTCGGTCAACAAAAAAAAACAAAAACAGGTTGGGACTGAAGCAGCTAAATGGAATTCATCCATTTATTTTCTCATTTACATGTGCTTTTTTCCTATGGAAAAGGCCTAAGGCTAAATATTGTTTTGATAGTAGTGCCTTAACAATGGAAAACATTTTCCAATAACTAATTATGAGGAAATGTTTTCCAAAAAAACAAATAAATTGTTGCTTAATTAAAACTGAACCTGTTACTAAAAAAAGGGGGATTTAGACCAGAAAGTACCAGCTTTCTTATTTTAATTTCTCATATTTTGTACTCCAAAATTATTGAGGACGATTTCTTCTCTCATGCAGTTGTTTAAATGTTATTATGAAGACTCTAAAGGCTGCATAATTGCAAACTGCAAACACCATGTGATTTTATTGGTACAGCATAAAGGCACAGATTTAATTCACTGAACATACTTGACCAAAGGAGTGATGAGGCACAGCCAACCAGAGTACACAGGAAAAATAAAAGAATAACAATTTTGGCTGACCAAACAGTGAATATGGTTATTTAAAAACGGAACCAGTCGGCTCTTACTTTAATGATCAAGACAAATCATTGTCACCTTCCACATGGTTAAAGATAATCCTGCCATGAGAGGGCGTGATAGAGTCAAA